ACTGCCTTCACAAACTGCTTTTCATGTAATTACTGGCTACTTGTTCTGAGTAGTGCTAAAGCCTGAATTACCTTCTCTGCAATTTAGAGCAGAGAAGGGTCATTTCTTTGCCTCTTTCTCCCATTGAATGGTAACTCAGTTCCCTGTTTGTGCTGTCCCAGGTGAGATTGCTCTGCTGATGAACCGTCCTCGTGCTGCCACCGTCGTGGCTCGTGGCCCCTTGAAATGTGTGAAGCTGGACCGGCCCCGGTTCGAGCGTGTGCTGGGTCCCTGCTCGGATATCCTCAAGAGGAACATCCAGCAGTACAACAGTTTTGTATCACTGTCTGTCTGAAACCTTCCTCCCTGTCCAAGCCATGCTTCACGAATGCAGACTGCTTTCTTCCCCTTGTGCAGAGCCACTGGCATTTGCAGCTTCCTGTCCTGTTAAAAAAAAAAAAAAAAAAAAAAAAAAAAAGGAAAAAAAAAAGAAAAAAAAAAGGAAAAAAAAAAATAAACTGCTTATCATGGCACTGTCATTAATTTAGAGCATATTATTTCTGTGCTCTCTGTCCCATTAAATTAATAGAAAAAGTTCAGTGGAGACGTTTGCTTCTCTCTGTGTCCAACTCAGGCCAGTGCAGCCTTGCTTCAGCGAGGGAGAGACCTCCTGGCACCACGCCATTGCCATAAAGTGAGGAGGTGACAGTAAAAGAGAGGGGAAAAAAAGTTCTTTTAAAGTTGTTTCTCAAATTATTGGACAGATTTTAAGGCTGTGGTCATCACCTGCTGTATTTCTTTTCACATGAGAGCTACCCTTGTAATTGAGCTTGGGGTTTTCTGGGTTTCATTTTCATTTTCTGGGTACTGTAATCCTGGGTTCAATCGTGAGGCATCAGCTGCTAAGAAAGCCACAGTTGGAATTTACCAGTATAATTGTTCCTGTGTCTGCTGGTTTAAGATTGCTTAGTTCTGTTCTTGTCAAGTGTAAATCAAAAGCTTTCCAGGTTAATAGTTCTGGTGAACTACTGCAGTTGTTGATCCATTTGCTGACTTGCCGCAACTGATCTTTTTCACTGGTTCTTTCTCCAGCCATAGATTTGCCATTTAAAACTCTTTCTGTTCCAAGTGGCAAGTACCAAATGCTCCATGAAATGCCTGACTTTGGTCTCTAGTACATAGATTGGTGTAAGAATGGTGCAGCTGTCCAGCTGTTAGTACTGTTTGAGTGCTTAGATTGGTGTAGAAGTCAAAAGCAAACATTTGATTTTCCCTGTGACTTGTTAATCCTCAGTTGACTTTTAAAAAATCACCACCAGTTCAAGTGACCCTTTGTTACCAGGGGAAATAAATGCTGAGTGTTTTGGCCAGTATCAGTTGCAGGTGACAAGATTGCTGGTCTGTAAATCTCCATTATTCATGATAGAGAATGTGAGGCAGAAAAAACAAATGTTTGAACTTTCCTGCAACACTCAGTTGTTTTAAGTTTTTAGAGCTGTCAGTTCATCATTTTAAAAATGATTCACTATAAATCTAGTTCAAAGCCAAAAGGTGCATTCTCTTTTCTTGCTTATGGAATTTCCACCACACTCATTTCATCCTTTTTTTTTTTTTTTCCAAGTTCAATCTGTTGCGGAGTCTTAAATGTATTTCAGTATTTCCCAGCTTTGTGTTCCATTACTCTGTGCTCACCAAGACTTCCCAAAAGTTTTTACTGAATTCCACGGTTCAATAAGTGTAGGCAATTTTTAAGGTTTCCTTTAAACTGTAATTTATATCAAGTAGCATAGGTTTGTATTTGGGAGTGACAGCAAGCAGTTTGGCATTTGTTGTGCAACTACTTTAACGATGGAGCCCTCGTTTTATTTCCTTTCTGAGGTGGAGTGGATGCAAATCCAACGTTTTCCCACGCATGGAGAGAATCAGGAAGAGTCTGCTAATTGATGCAGAATAATGCTGAAGGTATCAAGCCTTTACAAAAGGTTTCAGGCTATTTCTGAAACTGAAATCCCAAGAAGGGGATTGAAATGCTTGTGGTTTGAGTTCTCTATTCAAGAGATGCTGAATAGAGGATTTCTGCCAGAGTCCTTAAGGAATGAGCAAATGCTACCTTTTTTTTTGTTGTTGTTCTTTTGTTTTGGGTTTTTTTGGGTAAAACTTTTTTTCTTAAGTTTTGACTCTGCAGGTTTTTTTCTTCATGTGTTCTTTGTGTTACATTAAAGCACCAAAAACTGTGTAAACCAGTTAGAGCTCCACAAAAAAATGCACATTTTTTTAATATAAGGCTTTCTAATCAAGTTTCACTACTGCATCTTTTTAGCTTGCTGTTTACTCCCTTTTGTAGTTTTACCTACAAGATTTTAAGATAAATCAGCTAAGTCTGAGTTAAATATTAAACACAGTTATAGCTTTACCTTTGTGTGCAATTTCAATATGTTTGAAACCACAATTGGCATAGTTTTGCCTTAGCTAACATTCAGGGCTTTAGAAGTAATTTTTTGCTAGTCTATCTTCAGCAAATTGATGAAGTCTATTGCCCTAGGAAGCTATAGTCAACCAGAGGACCATTTTTGTATTGTTACCTGACTCTATAAGTCTGATTTACTGTATGTGCTAATATATTATATTATATTCCTTTTGTTATAGATTGTCCTAATGGCAGGTAAAGCAATAAAATGATTTAAATTCTTAAATGCAATCAGCCTCTTTTATTTTATTCCCTGCCCCTACATCATGTTTTCCTTTGGCTGTAGAGGATGAGTTATGAATGAGGCAGCAGAAAATAAGCAGCTTAATGGATTAGCTTGGTGTAAACTCCAGAGGGGTGAGTTCAGGTCCTGGCTTCCCCCTGGAGCCTGGGGAGAGCTTGGTTTCCACCTGCCAGCCTGGGCATTCCTCTGCAGTTGTACCTGTGTCCTGTTTGGCTCCTGGCAGCTTGTGCTGCTTTCATCTCTCTCAAAGTGTTCATTCCCAGCCCAGCCACGACTTTTGGAGCTCAGGAGTTTGTGTTTGTTGGCTGCTCCCACCTCTGCAACCCCTTAATGAGCATGTGATGGATAATGGTGAATAATCTGTGGGAAGAGGAGGATTTCCAGCTGGGATGAAGTAGGAAAAAAATTTAAAGAGTGACCTGAAGCAGCTCAGACTTGGATGTGTTTTACACCCAGCTCCAAGAAAGCTGAATCACCCAGCTTTGAAGGTCCAGTAAAAACGTATTTATCATGTAAAGGAGAATAAAAGTAAGAACTCTGTTAGTCTACCAGCCATGTAAATATCCATGAGTTAGTTCCCTTAGCCCTGCCTTCCCTTTCCCAATCCCCTCCACTGAAAAAAACAGGCTGAAAACAGAACTTTGATAACCTAAAGTGAAACTTCAAACCCTCCACTTCCAGCCTTATAACTATAAATACATACTCTAGAGCAACAACTTTAAATTAAGCTTATCTTCTGTTGCCATGTGCTTCCTGTTGAAGCAGCAGTCAGTCACCATTCCATGACAAACGATGGAATTAATTCTGGGTTTGGCCTGTGTGGGGAGAGCACAAGAAGTCACCGGTAGAGGGAGATAAAACTTTGGGAATTCGTTGTCCTGGACAGAAATAACCAGCGGAGCAAAGATGCTGAGAGGGAGTCAAGTCCTCTTATTTTCTTCTGTTCTCTGTCCACAAGAGGAAAAAAGTCCCAAGGGTAAAAAGGTCAAGAGTCTGCTTGAGACTGTTGAAAAGTTGGAAATGCAAGAGCTTGTCTAAACCACAGTTTGGGAGAGACTAAAGGAGCCTGGAGTGGGGTTTTTGGTGGGTTTATGTGGGATTTCTGCTCACCTTTGTGGCCCCAGAATACTGGAGGAATTTCTTTGCTAATAAACACTCCAAACTTCCTCAAACACACAAATGGGCACCTATAGGACACACTCAGAACTGCACCTCTGCTGTGCTTCTGCAGTTTGGAGCCAGCACTGTCAGATTATTGTGGAGTTAAATGTAAAATGAAGCACCAGCACAATCCCCTGTGGAAAGCAGCTGTGGCCAAATGAGCTTTGTTCCTTCCTTGCATCATCCAGGCTCTTGTTGGAGTCACTGAGCTCCCTTTAGGTCAGGCAAAATTCCAGCCCATGGGAAAATGAGCCAGTGGTGGTGCAGCAGGCTGCTGGATCCTGTTAAAATGCTGCCTGGCAGCTTCTGTGCAGGGGTTTGGGGATCCTCTGGAAGGTCTGCAGTGCTGTAGGTGGGTTTTGTTTAACTTAAAGGTTAGTTTAGAACCAGTTTCTGTTAGATTGGTTACAGTGTGGGGTTTTTGTTGGCTTTTTTCCTCCCCTTAAGGATGATAAATTATCAACAGAGTTCTCAACTGCTTTCCCCAGGCTGCCAAAAGGCTCAGTGTGCTAATTCCTAATAGTCAGAGGAAAAAGCTATTAAAGAGAGCTTCACTAATCCAGTTATTCTTAAACCTTGTTGCTGGGAGTGAAGGGTGAACTGGGAACTGAGATACCCACCATAACTCCCCGTGCTTTTTTGGTCCCCAGTTTCTGTTGCTTCTCCTCAAAATGCACGGACATGGAGAGGGGGGAGAGATTGGGATACCATTTCTATGTTCCAGCTAATTATGACAACCTAAATGATTTTAAAAGGTATGAGGAGAAAATTATTTTAAAAGATATGAGGAAATGACCTGAGCTAGATTCCCCTTTGGATGGGTTCTTGAATTGTAAATACAGTCCTGTGTCTCAGAGTGCTTTGGTTTTCAGGGTAGCTTTTTCAGCTTGGGTTTTTTTCCTTTGGGTCTAGGACCTGCCTGTGCTCTGTACCCAAACTGGCTTTTCAGGCAGGTTACAGACGTGGTTTCACTGCCCTGTGGGGCTTTGTGTGCCGTGCCCAGGTCGCTGTGGGCTGGGCTGAGGCTCTGCAGCACCTGTAGGTGCCTTCTGGTCTCACCAAGCTGCACCAATGTCCTGTCTGGTGCTGCCCTCGTGAAGCAGGACTGCTCTTTCCTCAAATGTACGCTCCTGACCACAGAACAAAGAATTCATAAGAGGAAAATGCTCTTGGCATCTCTTTATTCCACCCTCATCCTCAGGTCGAGTTCATGTCTTTCTCCAGCAAGACCAAGCCCCTGTGGAGGTTGAGCAAACCAAGGTCAGGTGTTCCCTCACCCTCCAAGGTGTGGAGATCACAGCTTTTTCACCCCAGAGCCGTGTTTGGGGTGTAAAGATCTGCTGCAGTCACACCAGCACCCCGGCCGAGCACGGGAGCTCTGGTCAAACACCAGCAGAGGAGCCCAGCGGGATCCTTGATCTTCTGACATGTCCCCTCTGAGTCTCCCAAGCGCCTGCAGGTGGAAATGAGCAGTTCTGAAGCTGCCACTTGCCTTGCAGGGTTTTCCCTGGCTCTGAGCTCGGTTTAAGTGTCCAGCTTGGCTCTGTGTGCCGCAGGGCTCTGGGGCTGCGCCGTGTCGTTGGCCACCACCGTGGCTTCTCCAAAGGTGTCGATGCATGTCCCCACAGCAGCCAGGACCAGCTGTAGCCGCCTGTCCAGGGCCAGGAGATGTGGCTCGGTGAGCACAGGGGCCAGGGGGTCCTGCAGGAGCGATTCCCTCATCACGTCGCTCAGCCGGTACTCGGGCTCCGCCAAGAGCTGCAGGCGCAGCAACGTCGTTCTCTTTATTCTGGAAAAAAACAGAAATCAACGATTTAATGCCTCCCAGCAAGAGCAGCTGAGCTCCTCGACAGCAGGAGAGCAGAAATGGGTGAAGAAATTTAAAGCAGTATTGGACAAAAGTTCTTTAATTTTAATTTTGGAAGGTAATGAAATATTTTTTTTTTTTCAGAAACTTCTTCCTTTGTTTTCCCAGAGTATTTGTACTTCAAATTTCTGTCAGCAGAGAGAAAAACACGAAGTTCTCAGTAGTGAGTGAGTCAGAGATGACCCAGTTCCCCAGGTTCCTGTGGGGTGGTGGCATCTCCCCAAGGATGACATTTATGAGATGGGAGCGGAGGGGGAGCTAAATGAAAAGACATGAATGAGAAAATGTCTTCTGTCAAAACTCTGAGCAAAAAGAGGGAATATTTCCTGGAACTGATGTAACTGTGACTTTTCACCTCAAGGGGTACTGAGATTCAAATGTGATTTGCTTTGACAGAAAATGGGATGAAAAGCTGCAATCTTGGAATGCTTCTGGGCATGAAATGAAGTGTTCTGAAATCATTTGTTTAATCCTCAGCAGAAATGTGTTGACTTCAGCATGTATAATACTGAAATGAATCAGGGCTTGTAGCTATTGCCCTTTAAATCTTGGAAACAAAGTGGTCCATGTTTATGGAACCATTTAGCCCATTCAGAATTTTCATGTGGGAAAAGGTACAGTCAGATCCATTTCAGGCAGCTCAGGATTTTGTATTTGTATTTGTAGGCTGTCTACATCCACTGGGAATGTTGCTCTGGATCTCTGCAGCTCCAGCAGGCCAGGTGCTGTTTGGGAAAGGTTGTGGCTGTTCCAGCTGCTGGGGACAATCACTAAGGCTGGAAAAGGCCTTTAGGATCAGCAAGTCCAGCTGCTGTCCCAGCACCATCAAACCATGTCCTCAAGAGCCACATCTGCACATTCTTGAAAGAATTCCAGGGATGGTGACTCCATCCCTGGGCAGCCTGTGCCAATGTTTTAAAACCCTCTCCAGGAAGAATTTTTCCTAACATGCAATCTAAATCAGGAGTGAGTGTGGAGCGAGGTGAGTGTGGGCAGCATGCCTGTAGCACGAGGATGCTGCTGCCACAGGGGCAGGCATCACCTTCCTGCATTAATATTCCTGAAGAAAATAAAATAACCAATTGATCAAGTGTGAGGGCTGACAAGGAAGCTTTAAAGCCCAGCTGTGAGGTGCTGCTGCTGCTGCCAGGGAAAGCTGTGCCTGGAGCAGATGTGAACGAGCATCTGTGCGCTGTCCTCGGAGGCACGGCCGGTGCAGGAGCTGCTGTGGGTAAACACCAGCTGTGTTTGCTCTGGTCCCAACAGTGACAGCGTTTGGAGGTGGAGAGCAGGCTGCTCTGACCCTTGGGGAGCAGCTGACTGAGAGCTGGAACAGTTTCACAACAAACAGGCAGAGCACGGAGAGGGCTGAGATGGAAACGCTGCTGCTCCAGTCCCACGGGGGCTGTGACCTGCTGGCTGTGCTGAGCTGCTGAACGTTTCACCCCGAGCCTTCCAGGGACATCAGCAGCCTGGCTGGGGCTGCTGTCAGGCCTGTCTGTGCCTCCAGGAGGGAATGGGTGCTCTCAGGAAAAGGAGCATCTCATGGCGTGGCTGTACTGGTGCCACTCATTGGGAGAGGAGAGCTGCAGGCTTCAGCGTGTGGCTGAACAACAGGGGCTGGGAAACGCAGCTAAAACCAGGCTCAAATCTGCTGGAAGGCAGACTTGGAGCAGAACTGAGCTGGGAAGGAGGTGGATGTGTTTAACAGGGAAGGAAGCAGCCTGCTCTCAGCATCCCTGTGCTCCCAGCGCTCCAGGCAGGAGGAGCTTTCCTGCTCCCATGGCTCAGCTGGTGTCGGAGCACTGAGCTGGCTCGGTGGGCTGAGTCCAGGTGGTTGGTCAGGGCAGCCTGGAATTTGTGGCCTCTGTGTGCTTACTCAAGGAAAACCTCTTCCTTTCCTTTCCAAGTGGTTTTAGACGCTCTCCACTCCAAATGGGTCAGCTCTTGTGGGAAATGAGGGTTTGTCTGTCTCCCTCGGACAGCACGAGTTGTTTTTATGCTGTTCCTGGCCCAAGTTTGCTTATGACAAGGTGTTCAGGTCCTCTTACCACTGCCTTCTACAAGAATTAAATTAAGAGGAGTTTGTGGGAGATGGATCTGGAATAGGAATGATGTGACCTGTGGATATTACGGTATGCAGGCCAAATTAAGAGGTAGAGTTAATTTCAAACTGCACAAAATTTCAAGAGAAGGATTCCCTGAGAGCCTGCAATTAGAAATGAAAAGACTTGCTGAGTGCAAATAACAGTTCTTGAAATTAAACCTGGTGGGAGGAAAGTGCAGTTACCACCCTGAGGGGGAGAAGGAGCAGGTAGAGCAAGGAAAAAGGCTCCACATCTGAAGAGAAACCCTAGGAAAGAGCAGCTGCTTCTGCCTCTTAAATGTAACTTTCAGCTGCTGATTAATGTGAATTAATGAGGTGGGAACATCAGGTTAAATTTATGAGCTTCTCCTTCATGCCATGAGAAGAGGGAGCTTGATTAACTGGATCAAAGTTCCACCAGGATTTTGGATGGAGATTTCTGTGTTTCCTACTAGCACCTCATGCTGGTGGGCTGGGAAAGGCTGTTAGAACTTTCTGGAAGGGTTTGATCCATTGGCCAGTGTCTCCTGGTCTATCAGTGAATGTTTTCCCACTTGTGATCCCCTTGGCTGGTACAGCAGGGTCCTCCTGGAGCTGCTGGACGGAGCCAGGCCTGGGTGACCTCCCCAGGGGCAGCAGGAACACCCCAACATTCCTGGGAAGGAAGGTGCAGCTGGAACTTACACACAGCACTGGGAGAGCGGAGCCAGGATGGAGATTTCATCGTGGGAATGCCGCCCAAACCTGGGGGTGAAGCAGAGTTCAGAGCCTGCCCTCCTCCTCCTCTTCCTCCTCCTCCTCCTCCTCCTTGCCCCCCTCTCCTGCTGCCTCACCCTCTGGCGTTGTCCAGGTGCAGCAGGAAACCATCGTCCCCAAACTTGGTGAACATCTCGTAGTGGTGCCGGTCCATGTTCCCTGGAAAAGGACAGACAGAGGGACAGAGTTTCCCTTGCAGGGAATTTTCTAAGTCATCCCAAGCTTGCTTTCAGATCTGCATGGAATATTTGTTGCCGTGCTGGAAGTGGCCGAGGTGCTGCTTTCCCCTTGCTGGGGTGAGCTTGGGGGGCTCCCCTGTGCCCCCACTTTGGAGGGGCTGTGCTGGGAGACAGCACGGTCTGAAGTGTCTCTGGAGGAGAAGGGAAAGGGGAAAGGGGAAAGGAAGGAAAAAGGAAAGGAAAGGAAAGGAAAGGAAAGGAAAGGAAAGGAAAGGAAAGGAAAGGAAAGGAAAGGAAAGGAAAGGAAAGGAAAGGAAAGGGAAGGGAAGGAAAGGAAAGGAAAGAGAAGGAGAAGGAGAAGGAGAAGGAGAAGGAGAAGGAGAAGGAGAAGGAGAAGGAGAAGGAGAAGGAGAAGATAACCTTCCCCTCCATCATTACCTATTAGGAAGTCGAATATGGCCATGTCCACGATGTTGAGCAGCCGGTTGCTGTTGCTGTAGGGGTAGATCTCCCTCACTGTGTTGCAGTAGAGAGGATTCAATTCCCACCTGATGGAGAAGGGGAGACACCCTCAGCTGGTGCTTCCAAAAGTTCCCCAAAACCCATCTTCCAAGTGAAGATGCAAAGGAGGAGGAAATAAAACCCAAATCTCCCCTTGTGCATGCAGGAGACTGGAATTGAAACACAGCCAGGCTGTGAGGGTTATTACAGCAATTATTACACTAATTATGGACTCCCAGATTCCTGTGCCTGTTTCTGCAGGTCTGTCTGCAGCAGCCTCATTTCCCACTTACTCCTCTTTTCCATGGAAGGAGTAGGAGCGGATCCACGGGTTGGGGATGGAGAGGCGTGGGGCCAGGTTGAGGGAAGGCAGGAAGGCAGAGAGGGAGCCCTCCAGGAGGTGAGGGTTCCCACACACCGCGTACTCCGTCTTGCACATGTACGGGCACTTGGCGAAGAAGCAGACGTTGCTGGCTGGGAGGAGAGCAGAAAACAGGGAAAAGAGCAGAAAACAGGGAAAAAGGGCTGTGATCTCCAGCAGGATGCAAGGTGGCCTGGACTGAGCCCTTCCCCACCTTGGGACAGCAGTGATTCCTTGTGGCAGGGATAATAGAGCGAGGGGGAACAGGGGAGGAGCCCCAAGGGGCTGCAAATGAGTGCAGAGCAATTGAAAAGCCCTGTTTGATGGATTTTTCATGGGAACACTCTGGGGAATCCTAGGAAAAACAAGGTAAAACCCAAAGCATCCATGTCATGGATGTCAACCTGCCAATTCATAGATTTGGGTCTTGTGCTAAGGGAAAAGTTAAGAAAAAAGGCCAAATGAGTAGATCTGGTGGATGATTCCAGCTGGAGGCTGGGAGAGGGAACCTCTGCTGTAATTGTGTCCTTGTGCAGGTTTAACCCAAGAATTTCATTTCTGCACCACAGCACGAGTCCTGCAGCCCCTTTTCCTGCAGCCCCTGCCCTTCCTCCCAGCACAGGCTGGGCTGAGGTGTGAAGGGACCTTAAAGACAATTGGCACCATCATCTGCCTCACCCCTCGCCCACCTGGTGACACGAAGAAGACGCTCTGCAGCACCTCGTTCTTGGTGACCTCCAGGATCTCCTTGGTGACATTGATCAACCTCCCCACGGTGGGTGGCACCCTCCGGAAATCCAGGATCCTGCACAGGGGGGACAGGGGATGGGGACAGGGGGTGTTGCTGCACTGTGGGGTGGCAGGTGCTGCCCTCTCCCCTTCCCCCAGTGAACCAGGATCACCACACCCAGACTCTTTCCAGCGAAAAGCCACTCTGGGCCAAAATGCAGCTCAGTTTGGATTTTGGTATTTTAATAGCTGCTTCCTGGAGCAATCTGGATGTTCTCCAGCATTCCTGTCTCTTTCCCTAGCATTGCCTCGGTTTCTCCCATCCCTTTGCACACAAACAGGGTCCTCCAAGGGCCAAAGCAGCCCTTCAGGCCCTTCTGCAGTGTTGGTTTGACACGGAGCAAAGATGTTGATCCTGGTACAATGTGGCTGAGGAGGCACCCCCTCCTCCAGAGGCACTCATGCCCGGCTAATTCCTTAAAAATACTCTTAAAAACCTCAGGGCCTGGGGCAGGAAAGCACTGCTGGCAGTCAGTGGGAAGCTGCTGCTGATTGCTGAGTCAGTAACTGGGGGTGAACTGGCTAATGCTCTGCTTGGCTCCTTGGGTAATGCCCTCTGCTCCTGGGAATTGGGCACAGAACAGGATTTAGCCTGTTACTTATTGAGCAATGCTTGGAGAGAAAAAAATATTTGCTTTTATCCAGCATCTTTCAGCTCTAAAAACCACAAAGCACTTCACAAAAGCAGCCTGGCCTCATTTCTGTGGCGGTGGAGCTGCAAGGGCGAGGTGGTGGTGGCTGAGTAGAGTAGATGTTGAGTCGAGTGAGGATGTTGGGGCAGAACTGGGAAGGGAATTCAGCTCCCTTTGTTCCCTTCCTGAGAGTCTGAGCTACAGAACTGCTTATCCTGTGGAAACTGGGGACCCCCAGCCACCCTGACCATCAGGGACCACTTCCCTGGTGTTCAGCGTTCATCCCCCTGAGGAGAGAAAGGCTGCTGCCCTCATCTTCTGAGAAGGGTATTTTTGGTTTTATTAAACACACACCCTGCTGGGAAGAGTTGCCAGGTTAATTGCTCATTATCTGAGGGCTTAAAACTGCATTGCTGCAGTTTATCAACCCAAAGCACACCTTGATTGCTGATTGAGTGCGTGCCTCCCTCCCCAGGAGGGCACCCAGACAGGGGAGGGACAGTGTGTGACAGCCAGGGGAGGGACAGTGTGTGACAGCCAGGGGAGGAGGGGCTGACCTGCTCCAACCTGGCCTTCACCTGTTCCCATGCAGTGGCCAAGGCAGAGCTGCCTCTGGGCTGTCAGGTGAGATCCAGAGCCACTCCTTCCCTAAATAACACCTGTGCTGCAGAGCAATCCCTTCTCTGAGCTCTGCAGGGCTCTTCCCTAAGCTCTCGTGGGCAGAGTGGCAGCAGGAGCAGGCAGGGGCTGGGACAGGTCTTACCTGTCCAGGTGGAAGGCGGCGATCTCCGCGTTGTGCCGCTGGAAATCCACAAAGTAGAAAAAGTCCTCAGGAGTCTCCTCCTCGCGTTTCTGCCTGGGGGAAAGCAGGGGCTGAGCCTGGACACTGGGGGCTGGCACCAGGACAGTGCACCCAGCACAGCTGGTGGGCTGGGGGACACTGGGGACAAGGCCAGACCCCAAGGGCTCAGTGCAGAGCTGGAGCCCTCGCCCGCCGTGCCAGGGAGCAGCACTGGCACCCAGCTACTGCCAGGTGGCTGGGGGACACAGAACAGCTGACTGGGGGCTTGAAATCTGCTTGAGCAAGAGCTTAGACCCCCTTAGGACAAAGTTTCAGGTGGGTGTTTGTCACATCCCCCTGGAGGCAGAGGAGGGCTCAGGTCCGGTGCTCTCCTATCCCTGAGGTGGGAACTCCACTCTCAATTTTCTGGCTCTCACACGGTGCCCCAGCACGGGAATTTGATGTTCAGGCTCCCAGGCAGCTGCAGGACACAGGAAAGCCCTCCTGGCTCAGCAGGGCATGGATGCTTTCCTTCCCCTCCAGGACCTGATGAAGCTGGGCAGAGGTGGATGGAAACCCACGGGAGAGGAGCTGGCTGCCTTCAGGGTGAGGATTTTATCCCAGGCCCTGTGTTGCCAGCTGCTCTGCTCACACATGGACAGTGACAGGGAGGAGCTGGGAAGAGTCCCAGGGGGCTGAAAATAAGTGCAGAAGCAATTGAAATCCTCTGTTTGATGGCTGTTTCTTGGAAACACTCTGGGGAATACAAGGAAAAACAAGATAAACCCCAAATTCTGCTGGGGAAGAGGCAGTGAGCAGTCCCTCATGGCAAAGATCTCAGGAGAACAAGTGTCCCTAGGTCTTTCTCCACCCACAAACTGAGAAATTTCCAACACCAACAGCGGGGTGGGAATGCTGGTGTTTATCCACGTGTGCTCCTGGGATGGTGTGAGCAGCCAAGAATAACAAAAAATAATGGGACCTTTTCAGCTGCCCAGGTAGCTGAGGGCAGGAGAGGGAAGGTGTGGCTGTGGTGTGGCTTCTCGTGCCAAGGAAGGTCACAGCCCTCCCTGCAGGGGCTCAGGGGGGCTCTGCTGGCCTTACCTCATGGGCTTGAACATGGCTTTCCCAAAATCCTGGAACCTGAGGACCAGCTTCAGGTGAACACCGCTGGGCTTCACGACTTGGGGAGGAAAGAGGGTGTTAGATCCTGGGAAATGGGATGATAACTCCTGGGAAAGAGGGTGTTAACTCCTGGGAAAGAGGGTGTTAACTCCTGGGAAAGAGGGTGCTAACTCTTGGGAAATGGGATGATAACTCTTGGGAAATGGGGTGATAACTGGAAACACCCCAGTTACACACCCCAGCACATCCTGCCTCTCCAACCCCCTGAGTGCATCCCATCGCTCCTTCCAGCTACGCCCCTCCCTCTCTTCCCATTGATTTTCCTTCTCTCCCTTGTGCCACAGAGATTTCCCTTCAGCCTCTCTCCCAACCACCCTCTGTTGCATCCCCTTGGGGACTTTTTCTTCCCTCCCCAGTAGAAACCAGTGCTGTACTGGTGTCCTGACACCCACAGAGAACAGCTGCTCGTGGCAGTGGGACAATTACCACCCCTGGGTGTTAAAGTGTGGATGTGGCTCCATCATTTCAGAGGACTTTTCCAACTGAAATAATTTTATGCTCTGTGATCCCAGCCTCTGCTGGGGTGCTGGGGGTTCATGGGAGGGAGCAGAGCCTGGCCTGGCATTTCCCTGGCCGAGGTGAGGATGGAGGAGCTGGGGACTGGGGCCAGCCCCCCAGTGGGCATGTGGGGACCCCAAGTGCCACACTCACTCTGGCTGCAGTCACAGGCTCCCAGCAGCGCCTTCTCGTCCTGGCTGTAGTCTGCAAGGGCAGGAGGAGCAGTGAGACCCTGCCAGGCTCCATCTCTTGCTGCTCAGCCCCTTCCCAGGCTCCCAGAAGGGAGGACTGGGGCCTTGCAGCCGCACACAGCTGCCCCCATCGCCATCCTCATCCCCATCTCCATCCCCAGACCCATCCCTGTCCCCATCCCCATCCCCGGGACTGTGTGAGAAATGGAATTGTAGAGGATTCTTAAAACTGAACTGAAACCTCAGTCCTGTACATCTGTGTGCAAACTCTGGGGTGAGGTGTGCTGGCTTAGCTAGGCCATGGGATAGGGAAAACATTGAGAGATTGAACTGGAAACAAGCTTCAAACGATGGCCTTGGCAACAGAACAGGTGTTTTAGAGAATCAGAACTGTGAAAGGTGCGTTGTAACCAGACCACGTGAAGGAGAATGCCAAGTGATTGGTGTTAAAGCTGTTAGCAGCATCGTGTGGCAAAAACTGATGGGCTAAAAACCATTTATGAAGTATTGTAACCAGGGAATGAGCTGGCTTCTAATAGAATAGCGTTGAGTTTTACTTCTCTTATGTTTCACCTTTCTATGAGACTAAGAATAGAATAGAATAGAATTCTACAATAGAATATATATATATATTCTATTATAATAGAATATTATATATATAATATATATAAAATAGAATATAATCTATATAATATATAATATATAATATATTATATATGTATAATATATAATATATAATATATATAAAATAAACTATAAGAATAGAATAGAATAGAATAGAATAGAATAGAATAGAATAGAATAGGAGATATATATAATATACATAATATATATATTATATATATATAAAATAGACTATAATAATAGAATGGGATGGAATGGAATGGAATAGAATAGAATAGAATAGGTATAATATGCATAATATATATTTTATATATATATAAGTAGAAGAAATAGAAATAGAAATAGAAATAGAATAGAATAGAATAGAATAGAATAGAATAGAATAGAATAGAATAGAATAGAATAGAATAGAATAGAATAGAATAGAATAGAATAGAATAGAATAGAACAGAATCGCCTGTCGGAGGCCCCGGGGGGCAGGAGGATGCTCACCGGCGCTGATGGTGGGGAATTCCTGCATGTCCCGGAGCAGGCTGCTGACGGCAGGGCTGGAGCGGGGGTAGAGCCCATCGCGGCTGATGCCCAGGTGGAACTGCAGCCAGCTGGCCTCGGGCCTCAGCGGCAGCGGGGCCGCCGGGGAGGTCAGGTTCTGCTCCTCCCGGTAAAGCTTGTGTCTCCTGCAGGAGAGAGGTTCTGGGGATGAGCCACGGGGTGGAAAAATTCCCTTCTCCGAGCCTGGAGTCTGCTGGGGAGTGGGGAGGTGCCAGGAGCAGAGCATAGGGTTGATAAGGGGAAACTGAGGCAGGGGAGATGGCCAGTCTCTGACTGTCTCTGACAGAGTTTTTTCCCTGAAGCTGGAGGTTCCAGTAAGGGGGGAAAATAAAAAAATCACAAATTACCTTTGTGACCAAAATCACAGTAAGCAGGGATGCTACGAGCTCATCTGGCAGCATCTGCCCATGATCTAAAAATCAAGGTTCAACCCCATCCATTTTTGGTAGGTGGAGCTGAAGGAGCCTCCCAAGTTCAGCAATAACCCAAAACCATCTCCCCACTCCATCAGCATTTTCCTCAACCTCGAGACCTCCGAGGCTGGGACTGTGGAACTGAAAGGTCACTAATTCCAGCCGGCAGAGGACGGAGCTTTAGTTTCTCATTAACATTGTCCAGCCCACGTAGGGAGCAGCCAGTCCTGATAAAGGGAAAATGAACTTCAGTTTACACTGAAAGTGCCAGGATCCATCCATGGAAGCAAACAGGAGCTGGGGGCTGATAAGGAGTAGGACATTATCCAAGGCAGGTTGGAGTGGCTGGAGAGGAGGAAGTGCCACATGCCTGGCCAGACTCCATCCAGAGCCTGAGCAAGTGAGGTCTGACCATGCACCGAGGCATTTATCAGCCAGGGAATAGCACTGGGGGCTGGGAAGGGCTCCTGGGGGTGGTGTTTTTTCTGTTTCCCTGCTCAGCCCAGCAGCTGGGCTTTGGTTGGGATTTTTCCATCACCCTTCTCCATCCAAGCAGGCTGAGCAGTGTGGTTAATCTGGCTGTGAGCAGGGGATGAACCCTCCCACAGGTGTTCCAGGGCTGTCCTGGGAGACATCTAGGAACTGGAGAGGCAGCTTGGATGTGCAGCTCAGTGTTCCCTCTCCCAGTTTGTTTGTCTTTCCATTGGACTGGGTCAGCCACAGCGTGAAGTCCACGTGTGCGTGGCCAGGGGGAAGCCAGAGCAATTCCCTCCCACAGCAGCTCTCTGCTCAGGCTGCCTGCAGAGGAGGCAGAAGATTCCCTGTGCATGAGGATGTGGCCCTGGAATGCCATCAGCTCCAGCAGAAGTGCCTCGACCCCCAGCCTGCTGCCCTGCCCCAGGTTTCCCGTGGATAAGTGAGGCACAACCTTAACCCTGCCACAGCCAGGGACAATAAACCCCAGCACAAGGGACAGGAATGACTCAGGATTTTTCCCTAGGGAAGCTGCCCAAATATTTTACCATATTTGCTCTCCTGCCTGCCATACACACAGGCTGTTCCCCCGGGGTGGCAGCGAGAAAGGGATTACTGAGGGGGAAAAAAATGCAGTGGGAGGCAGATCCCAGCCCTACATCCACACTGTCCCTGCTCAGGCTGAGCCAGTCCCTTCCCAGCCTTTCAACCCAAAATACAGCTCTCTCTTCCTCCCTGCTTCCTTCAGGATTCCTGAAATATTTCCCTGGAAAAAAACAGATCTCTGCAGAAGGCATAATGATATAAAAGCAGGGTTCATTTCTACCCTGCTATAAATAGCCCTGGGGTTGCCCTGGCTTTCAGCTCTCTGCTGGGCTGGGAGGGAGGCACAGCGTGGGGTGACACTGCTCAGGCCACCAGCATCCTGAGTCTGGGGTTTTGAAGCTTCTCCTTCAAGGATAAAAATAAGCTCTGGAGTTTTTAAGGGGTTTTTTTTTCGGTTTTTAAGAGGTGTGGATGTTTTTGGTTTGTTTTTTTTTTTTTTTTTTCTGTTTCCTTCCTGCATCCCCATCAGTCTCTCCAGCTGGTTCTGCATCCTGCAATCAAACTGCTGGTCCTGATTGGAGTGCTGGGAGCAGCCAGGGATGGGCAGCAGGGAGTTTGCAGGAGGAGGACATGCTCTGGCCCTGGCTATCCCAACAGGACGTGTCCTGGGGCTGCTCCAGCTGGCAGAGTCCCTGTCCAGCTGATGTCCATCTGAGTGCAGAAATGAAGGCAGATGTGCTGTGCTGGAGGAACGGGGTTAAACTGCAGCCTGTTCCACTCAAGGGGAGCGTCCTGCTGCTCCCAAAGCTGCTCTGTGCAGAACATCCACGGCTGATGGAGAAATGTGCTGTCACCCATGTGGGGAGAGGATGCCCATGGACCCTGAGCCTCTGCTGCCTGGCTCTGGATGTGCAATGTGCAGCTGCTGTGGACTTCTTGCTCCTCAGTCCTCAATGGCAGCAGCAGCTTTGTTGAACCCATGCAGAGGGAGAGAAAGCCACGGATTCCTGATGCCCACGAGGACCCTGCCCTGGCCACCTCAGAGAGGACACGGGCTCTGCAGTGCTCCTGGTGAGGCAGAAACTCCTCTGTGCCCACAGCAAATGAACAATCTTATAAAATCCATCAGCTCTGGCAAACGTCTCCTGATTATACACTCCATTTGCAGCACCGATGGGTGTTTGTGGTTGTGTCACCTCAGCCTGTGCTCTCTGGAGGTTTCACCCACTTATGATCATCATATATTTTATTTCAGAGTGACTGAGGAATAATCAATACTCTGCCTCCCTTTCCTTCCTGGAGGTGCAAAGCGAAGTCAGTCAAGGACAAATGGCACCACTGTGTTCCTGCCAGACACATCACAGCCAGACCTTGGGGCAGAAGGCAAAGTGCAGTCATGGCTTCATCACAAATTCCATGTTTTAGCAGAGTGGTGAATGAAGCTGGGGAATGCAGATTTCTCACTGTCCTGCAAGTGAGGCTACAGCAAGTGCTCAGGGCTTCTGATGGTGCCATCAAGCCGTGAGCTGCTTTGGTTTAAATCCCCCATTCCCACTGGGATTTTGCTTGGGAAACATCCACCTTGGTACCCAAATCCTGATGTCTTCAGAAGGCAGTGCTCAGCTCTGAGAAGGTGGCACAGCCAGGGATACTCAAACATGCCATCCACAAAGGATTGAACATCCAGACTGACTGGAGAAAGGGAAGAGTCTCTCAGGGGAGACCCTGGCTGAGCACAAAGGTGGTTCCAGACCCTGGTGCTGCTCAGGCCATGAAGGTCATTCTGTGTTCCTTCCATTATCGCTTCCCATCATCTCCTCCAGCAAATCTTGCATGGAACCAGCACTGGGCGAGTCCCACAGAAACAGGAGGAACAGGCATGGAAGTGGAGAGAGCAGGAGCTTGGGAATCCTGCCTGTGCAGCTCAGCAACCACCACACAGGTGATGGGAGGTGTGGGGGCTGCTCCGCTGCTGGAAACCAAACCTGGGCAGTGGGGAAGTGCCAGGACAGGGATCCCTGGGGTGGTCCCAGGACATGCTGTCATCCCCTTGCAGGTGTCCTGTCCCACAGAGGGGACAGTGAGGTGATGCCATGAGCTCAGCACGCCGGCAGCTCTGTGCTCTGTTGTATCCCAGCTTGTGCATGAATGGAAAAGTTCTTGGGGTGCAGGGAGCAGCTGTGGGGTGCTGTGTGCTCCAGCTTGGCCCCAGCCCTCATGGAATGGGGGGTTAGATCCTCCCAAGATACAGATAATCGATGCTGGGAGCTGAGGGTCACTGTCCCCCCCAGGGCAGTGACCCCAGGGCAGTGACAGTCCCACACCAGGAGCGGGAGTTTTCTTGTTGCTGGGGCTGGGAGAGGCAGCAGGAAGAGGGCTCTGAGCTGGGGGTCCCTTTCTCTGGGGCTCTGGCAGTGCAGCAGGGTGGGAGACACCCCAGGAAGGAGCATCCCAGCACAGCCCCTCAGCCCAGGGGTTGGAGCTGTGAGGGCACAGAGCCAGAATGGGGGGCAAACTGGACTGGGGGTGCTGGAGCAGGGGAGGGGTGCCCAGGAGAGCTGCCCAGAAAGGGAGTGAGTACCTGTGGGGTACCTGAGAGGGTGCCTGGGGGTGCCCATACAGGGAGTGCCAGGTGAGAGTGCCCAGGGAATGCCAGGGCAGGGGTACCTGTGCAGGGGGTGCCCAGAAAGGGGGTGCCCGGGAGGTGCCCATGCAGGAGGTGCACTCACACAGGGAGCCTGGGAAGGGGGTGCTCAAGAGATCCCAATACATGGAGGAGTCCAAAAAAAGGGTGCCCAGGTGATGCCAGGGAAGGGGGTGATCATGCAGGGGGTGCCCAGGAGATGCCAGAGAAACGTGTGCCCATGCAAGGGACACCCAGGAAAAGGGTGTCCAGGAGATATCCCAGAAAGGGGCGCCCATGCAGAAGACACCCGGGAAGGGGGGGGGCAGGAGATGTCGGTGCAGTGGATGCTCAAGAAAGGGGTACCCAGGAGATGCCCAGGAAAGGAGGGATCATGCAAGGGGTGCCCGGTAGGAGGGTGCCCAGGAACTGCCCGCACAGGGATTGTCCGGGAAGGGAGTGCCCAGGAGATGCCCAGGACGGGGATGCCGGGGAAGGAGACGCCCTAGAAGGGGGTGCCGGGGATGGAGGTGCCAGGAAAAGGGGGTGCCGGGGAAGGAGGTGCCAGGGCGCGGGGGTGCCAGCAGACACCGTGCACTGGGTGCTCAAGCAAGGGATGCCCAGGAAACAGGCAGGAAAGGGGTGCCGGGGAAGGAGGCGCGCAGGAGCTGCCCAGCGAAGGGCGGTGCGGGG